CTCACAGCCTGGCAGACGTGAACGGCTTGCAGAATTAGCTAACAGCCAGCCTGCTCGGGAAACAGCCACTGTCCCTCTAGCCTGGGCCAGCTGGCAGAACAATGTGGGGTTTGTTACTTAGGGGTCCCAGGCTTGGGTGGGGGCAAGCTGGCACAGTGGGGACAACTTGAACTGGGATGCTCAGAGGCAGCCCTGAAATCTCGCCATCCCCCACTCCCAGGGGACCCCCCTGGAGGCCAGGAGTGTGAGTGTGGGGGGGCGGTCTATGGACCCTCTCTCCTCCACTGGGGGCATCGCCTCATTCCAGTCCAGGTTCCGTCACTTATCCAGGGGCCCCCCTGAAGGCGGTTATGTAACTCATCTCAACTTCCCATCTGTAAAACGGGAATGAGCTCTCCTGTGCAGAGGACTCGTCGTTAAATTAGACAAGATACACGGAGCATCCGCCGTGGCGCCCGGCACCTCCTGGTCCTTTCCTCTGGGAATTCAGTTCTCCAGTACTGCGGAGTGGACGTGGCCAGGGCATCCAGGGGCCCCCCTGAAGGCGGTTATGTAACTCATCTCAACTTCCCATCTGTAAAACGGGAATGAGCTCTCCTGTGCAGAGGACTCGTCGTTAAATTAGACAAGATACACGGAGCATCCGCCGTGGCGCCCGGCACCTCCTGGTCCTTTCCTCTGGGAATTCAGTTCTCCAGTACTGCGGAGTGGACGTGGCCAGGGCCTTCTCTTTTTTATTTATTTATTTATTTATTTATTTATTTATTTATTGAGAGATTTGTGCCAGAGGGCATGTGCACTCACTGGAGAGAGAGAGAGAGACAGAAAGTGAGAAATCACCCTGGGGGGATGGCCATGCCATAATTCCTTCTCCTTCATTCTCCTCTCAGAGTTTTGGGCACACACACATGCTCGGCATATTTCAAGCTGCCAGGTTCGGGACTTGAACCAAAGTCAACCATGTGGGAATCCAATGCCGTAGTCATTATGCCACCTGCTGGTACATATTATTATTATTATTTTAGGTTTTTGCCATAGGTGTGTGTGTGTGTGTGCTCATCAGAGAGAGGAAAAGAAACCACCCCCTAGGGGAGATGGCCACACCACAATTGCTTCTTCTCTAGTCTCTTTCTGGGGTTTGGGACACACATGCACACATGCTCACCATGGTCCAGTACTCAAACTGGAGTCGGCCACGTGGGAGTCCAGTGCTTTAACCGCCATGCCACCTGCTGGCCTTGGCCAGCGTTTTATTTTAAGAATTATTTAATTCCATTTTGCTATTATTTTTAAACTTTTGACCAGACAGAGATAGAGAGAGAGAAAAGGAAAGCAAGCAAGCAAGCCACAAGGTCTGGGACTCGAACCACTGTTGGCCATATAGGAATCCAGTGCCTTTTTTTGGTTTGTAATAATTATTTATTTAATTTTATTTACTCATTCATTTATTTTAATTTGACCAGAGAGAGATACAGAGAGAGAGAGAGAGACAGAGGGAAAGTGAGAAAGCAAGACACCAGGTCCAGTATTTGAACCGCAGTCTGCCATGTGGGAGTGTCCAGCACCTTAACCACCATGCCACCTGCTGGTCCCAGAATCAAGTGCCTTTAACCACCATGCCACCTGCCATCTCCAGGGGTATTCTTCTTTATTTTTTAAAATTATATCTTGGTGTTTTTATTTTTTTATTTTTTTATTTTTTGAGAGGTTTGTGCTATTTAAGCCACCGGGTCCAGGACTCGAACTGCGGTCAACTACATGGGAGTTTGGCGACATAGCCATTATGCTAACTGCTGGTCCCATCCAGGGGTATTCTTAAACTCACTTGGGTTTTGGTATCAGAGGGTTCTAGACACAACTTACACTCATGGTCTGGCCCCTGGTCAGCTTGGACGTTATGAGGCACCCGCTGCATGTGGGCTATGGGACCATGCTCGCTGGCTGCCTGGTAACCAGCTCATCTGCTCTTACCTCTGATTTTCCTTGTTCCCACTGGAGTGACAGGACCTTAGGCAGCTCAGCCCTGAACCTGCCCCGGGCGTGGGAGACTTAGTTGGTCCTCTCCCGGGCTTTAGGGCAGCCACCCTTGCAGCCAGGAAGGGCAGGGACAGAGCTTGGGCCCATCTTCAACCCCCTTCACCAGGGGTCTGGCTCATATTCCTCAGAGGGTGGGAGGTGCCCTGAAATCATTCCACTCTGCTTGCCAGATCTTGTCCACAATCTTCCCCCCCACACCCACACCCCCGGCACTGGGGAATGACCTCTGCAGGCTGTGACTTTCTGCTAGTGTCCTGATGACTAGAAAGGGATTCAGGAGGCCCCGGGCACCGATGATGGGTGAGGGCCGGGGAGGCCCAGGGGCTCAGAGCCCTGTGAATCTTGCCCCCAGAGCTAGGGTAACATGCGCCTCCTCCTTCCTACAGATGCAGGAGTGAGAAGGGATGGGGCATTCTGCAGAGGCCTGCTCCATTTTCCCGGGTGCAGGGGAGGCCAAGGGAGGCAGAGCAGGTAGGCGGGGCTTGCTGGAAAACTGGGTCAAGATGGCCTCGGATTTGAGCAAGTCGAGCCCACTAGGCCCTGAGGCAGCAGCTATGAGCAGCGAGCAGCGTGGAAGGGGTCCTGCTCTTACAGCAGGGTGCAGGGAGGACCAGAATCAGGCAGAGTGAGGTGGGCCCTCCCAGGGACCAGCAGGACCAGCACCAAGAGAGGTGACGAAGCCGGCAAAGCCACTGGGCCCGAGAGGATAATCAGCCGATTCTGGGTCGGGGCTGGGCTCTGGGGGCAGAGACAGTCTTGGTCCAGGCCCTACCCTGGTGGCAAGTGGGGTTCTGGGCTGGGACAGAGAGGAGGCTCCGTCCGAACACAAAGCAGCATCCAGCCATCCTCTTGCCCCCGTGACCTGAGCCCAGGCTGCTGCCTCAGGCGC